TTGGCACAGAATGCAATTGATTGTCACCCAACGGAACACTGTTATCTAATTCATATTTACGGCGAACTATTTGTTGTAGTGGTTTTTCAGGTTTTCTTATCAATTTCTTTATGGACTGTAAATAATTTTCAAATTTGTAAGCACTAAATTGATCTAATATTCCAAACCTTGCGACATCATCACAAATGTGTAATAAATTATGTATGTTATGAGAAACATGACTCTGAACATATAAAATGATAAATGTCTGTACAAAATATTGCATGAGAGATTTTGCATAAATTATATAATTTTTGTAATTTGGTTTGCATAAAATGGAAGTGGCTATATGTAGAGATAGAAAATTTATGTATCTATCATGACTGATAATAGATTTCAGAACTATAGGACCTGTATATAAAAGGAATTGTCGAAATTCTGTTGCCTTCCATCGTTTTACCTCATTGAGGTCACGAGGTTTACGATTAAATTCTTTAGTTATATTATTTGCTAGATTAAGTAATGACTTTGAAATATTAGATGTTTGATTGAATGATAATTTTGTTGATGGCTTTCCATAAACCCAAAACATAAGCAATTTTTTAACAACTCCCAAACAAATTAAATGCATATAACCTAAGGGAAAGTCACGTATCATATCGATATTTGAAATAGATTCCAATATTGAAGTACCTATATGATGATTTTCCTGATGCTTAGATCTAAATTCATTATCACAACGCAAAGTCAAGTTATCAATATTGGGAAAGCAAACACGATCATTAATATATTGTTCCTCGTTCACAACATTTTGTACATGAGTAATATCCTGAATGACCTTTAGTATACGTAATAAATGATTTTGCAGGTGCATCACAAATAAATGCTTTTAATTTTAATGAATATAATTTTGTGTTATAATATATACCATTAGAAATTAGATTATTTATGTCATCAACTAAATCTGTTAAAAATTCATTTGCATCATTTGGTTTTTCATTTCCATAATAAATACCAACTAATTCAACATTCGAAGTGGTAAATATACTGCATAATATAGGATAAACCTGACTATTTTTACTTTTAGCAATCGGTAAACCATCAATATTGATCAAAATTTCTATACAATTTGAAGTTAAACAATTATAGGTTTTTAACATTAGGTTTATAATGCACTGCAAGCCAAAATGATAATATATGCCAGTGTTCGAGATTAATTTGAATCTCGTTTATTTCATCCCCGGCGTGATGGCAGCATCAGCCGGGTCAGATCGTGCAGCGCCGCATGAGCGCTGCTCGCGCATGCCCGATCGCGACGCGAGGCGACCGCGCGACTTCACGTACGTTACCGGGGCTCTTTGTCTCATAGCGACCGTACGTAGTACACGCGTCTTGAAGTGCGGATAGTTCTCAAGTGCTCTTTTGTGGACTTTCTCATTTTCTCATCCGAGAACTGACTCAGTGTGAATACGAAGTGAACTCTTATCAGTGCGAATCATCCAGGACCACGGATACAGCATCACCGGCAGCTCAAGCTCACCACGCATCGCACGCCGGCGCCGCGTGGACACGGCTCACGGGCATCCACATTCATGAGGCCGGCTATCGATTAATATAATCGACCCGTGCAAGTGACTAAGAGACTGATCATCCCCGTTAACTCATAGACTGCTCAACTGTAAGCTTTTTACATTTATTAAACAGACCACGGTATTTTACTCAACACGAACTGAGTTACGATCACGTGATTTTCTACCCTCTAACGCATGCATCCGTTCCCGGAGCCTCTCTACGCAAAGTCCTCTCAGCCCTGCTTCCATCCGCAGCGGTCCAGCGAGCTCTCCTAACGAGAATCGCGAACAGCCAGGCTTCACATTTTTCATTTTAATTTGCCTGGGAGTTGTTAATAAAGTTCTAGCATCTAAAGGAAGTTCGGGATAATCTTGTTTCAAAATACTTAATAAGTTGTTAATAGCTAAATGATCAATATTATGTTTCAATGCCCATTTCTTTAAATTTAAAACAATGTCAAACTGTGATTTATTAGTAAATATATCATTGTTTATGCTACGTATGTTGGTATTTAAATCAATATTCTCATCTAAACAATTCTCTTCAGAACTATTTAGATAGAAACTAGTTGAAAAATTATTATTTGAAACCTCATCAGATATTTCAGAGTCATGTGAAAATTCATTGTCACACATATTATCAGATGAATTTAAAAACTCATTGTCACATACACTAGATGAATTAGATACATCAGTGTATGTATTAACACAAGTATTGGAAGAAGTCGATGCTACAGTATGAAAGTCTAAATCATTTACTGTGTTAATTGAATTAGTGGCAACAGAATTTTGTTCATAAAAATTACTTAAGGCAATAGCCAAATTTGCTTTTTTAGCTGCTTTTCTATACCCACTTCTTCGTTTCAATGAACCTCTTTTATTGTACATAATGTATAATAATTACGTTATTTATTGTGTAATGAAGTTAATAAAATTTAGATATCAAATAAATATTAAACTATACCAACATTTTTCTTATGCAATTTGGAGATTATAATTGTGAATCTGAGATTGTAAGTGTGAATCTAACAAGAAAAACAGATTTTAGCACTTATTTTGCACATACGGATAAATAATTGCAGATATGACAAAAACATACTCACAGTATTATGTACGAGAGAATTTACCCTCTGATGTACTCGTATATGTTCGGATCGTCATATACATACACAAAGACGAAACGGATTCTGTTAATCTGTACCAAGCCAATGTAAATGTCCACCGTGGCAGGTTTTGCGACAACGCTGTTGCAAAAAAACAATTTAATGAGGATGAGAATAAATGCGTGTGCTTCAAAATGCTGAGACTCGATCGTGAATCTCTTCTTTTAGCGTAAACTCTTTAAACATGCCTAGACATGTCCGCAAACAAGTTTAATATCTTTAGCACTTCAATTTTCATTCAATTGCACACAACACACAACAACGGCAATTCAATATTCAAGGGAAAGATTCATGATATATTCATATCCTCGAGGTGAGAATTTATTACATTGTTATATTTCTTAAGCCTCGTCTACACGACAAGGCGTAAGGCACGGCGCAAGAGCTCAGGCGTAGGCGTTGGAAATAAAATTAGTTTATTTCGCTTGCGCCGCTGCACCACGACCCTACGAACGGGAAAAATCCTCTTGCGCCTGTGCTCGCACTCTTGCACCGCGCTTTACGCCTTGTCGTCTAGACGAGCCGTTAAGCGACTTTGTAAATGTACGTATAACCTGAAAACCTTGTGAAACGGTTTTCTCATTAAGTACGATAGAAATACTAAAAATATTATGAAAATTGTGTGTGCACTTATCTTTACAAACTATATATTGGGTTATTTTATAGGAATATTGCAAATAAATGAAAGATTACCTTAGATTAAAATCGCGTGTTGGTACCGTCACGTTTTATCGCCGTGGAACGAAAGAGAGCGACATCAGCGCTATTCCTATGTCCACGGCGCTATTAGAAATGACGTATACAATATGGCGTATGGAGACACATCCGTTAATGGTCCAAATGAGTACATTCAAACATGTCCATTTTGGGATATTCATAGTGTGTCCACAAATGGACATCTTATGGATGTTTTATAAAGTCCACGGATATTCCGACATGAAATGGACACGAAACGGATATCCATGGGATATCAGGTGCTGTCTGAGAACGCTGATTTAGAAAAAAATTATTATTCATAAATTAGCAAACAGTCCGAATAAGGCTCTACATGCATACGTGTGTATCTGTATTTTAAATTATATTTTGATTACCCTGTGTCCAAAAGCAACGGTGTCCAATTGAACGGTGCGCAAAAGAACTATACGTAACATTATGTGTCCAATAGCACTGTGCGCAATTGCATCGTGTCCACTTATACTGTGCGCAATTGAAGGCTTCTCTGCTTTTAACACATAAAACGTTCAGAAAATATTATTTGCACTGATCGATAATTAATACCCGTTCTTCTTTATTTAGAAAACGCGAGCATGCACAAAAGCGCTTCCAGGTGAATGGCTGGTGGAAGCGCGGTTAAAATAAATAACAAATACTCGCGCAACTTTAATGTCCAATATCGAACATATGTACGTCAAAATACGGGTCATTGACGGATGTCCAAAATTGGATATCCTATGGACGTCCATATTACGGCTATGGACGTGCGAACATAAAATGAACATAAAATGGATGTCCCTTTTTCAACATCTTTTTCCTAATTTTCATCATCACCCCCCCCCCCCCGCCGCTCTCCCTTTCTTGTTTATCCTTCATGCCCACTGCACTCCCCATATGTATCCCGTCGGCAGCCTTCTTCTTATTCTCTTCCATCCCCTCTCCTCCATCTACGTCTCCATCAGCACTACCTGCCATTCTTTCAAACCCTTTCAAAACTCCTCATCCTTGTTACTCAACCCTACCACGTTCCAGAAATTCATTCCCAATCCTTTCCCTTTTTCTTCCCTACTCTTTCCACCTCTCTCCATATTTCCCCACTTTCATTTCCTTCCCCTCTTCTTCTCCCTTTCTTAAAATTTTCCTCACATTTCCTTTGCCGTCCCTGAAAACCTCTTCCTCTTCGTCCCATTTTCACCATATACTTCCCATTCTGATCCTCCCATACCTTACCAATACCCTCCTTCCCTCTTTTTCTTCCTTTTTCGCTATTTTCTCCAATATCCATTTTATCTTTCTCTCCCTCCATGTCATGTCCTTTTCTATCCTCTATTTTCTTCCTCTCAGCTTCCCTTTCTTTTCCAACACTTCCCCTCTCTGCACCTCATCTCCCTATTTCACCTATACCATTTCTCTTCCTTTTTCCCTGCCCTCTTAATCTTTTATCCTTTTAATCTCTACAATATTCACCATTACTCTAATCTCCTCCATCAGGTTCTCCGCCTTTTCCCTCCTCTACCTTCAGCTCTCTAATTATTATGTTCCCTTTTCTTTCCTCCCTCTCTTTAACTCCAACCTTCTGTATAACTCTTTTATCCTTCTTTTCATATCCTCATTCTCCGCATTCCTCTCCTCCCCTTCTATTGTTCTTTCCTTTCCTTTTTCCTCCTCCAGTCCCTCCACTCTTTTCTCAATTCTATCTATCTCTTTTCTTAAACCTAGCCTCTCCTCTCTCCCTTCCTTTGCCTGTTCTTTATACTCCCTTCTTATATCCTCCAACTTCTCCTCCAGTCTCCTCCCCTGCTCCTTCATGTCCCTCTATCTTTAATCTCTTTCGTCATTCTTTCCATTCCTTCATTTTTAACTGGTGATCTCCATATCTCTTTACTCCTCCTGAATATTTCTTCCTCTTCCCAACTTTTCTCCAGCTCTTCCTTCTTCCTTTTCGATAATTCCTCAAAGTTTCCTATGCTTCTTAATATCTCTTTCCTTCATTCTTTCCCAGCTCCCATCCTTTCCCTCCATCACTACCTCAATTTTCAACCTCTCCCTCCTTTTGCTTCCCCCTTCTTTGATTTATCCCCGTCGCTACTCCCTTCAATTCCACCGCTGGCGCCAGTGTCGCCCTCGTCCGTGCGATGTCTACGCTTCCCTCTCACTACCCTCTGCCGCCTCTAGCCTTCTTTTCGTCTATGCATAACTGTTACCGTCACCGTCTAACTCTTACTTAGCTCTTTTCCCTTTTCTGCCTTCCTTTCCACTCCCTCCTGATTATCTCACTCACTCGCTCACCTCTACTCTCTCCACACCACGCATCCTCTCCTTTCTCCCTTTCAACTGAACTCTAACACTCCCTTTATTTCGTTCGCTTACTGTCAACGTGTCGACTATTATCGCGACGGAGAAACGGAAGCCTTGTACATCCAAATATTTTATTATAGTATTTTGAAAAGCTCTTGTTGTGCCGTATGCGGTAACAAAATATCACGAGACACGTTAGTGTCTCGCGCCAAGTGTAAGCGCAGCTAGTACCGCGCGCGCGAGACTGACCGTGTAAGTTTACGCGAGTACACGAGTTGACGGGCTCTCAGAATTTTGAATCTCAAGAACGGCTGTTCCGACGAAGTTGAGACTGCGCTTAATCGATAGCTTGGGTACGATTTGCATAATAAAAGTATTTTTACTTTTCTCCTACGTGCCCCATGAGTAGAGATATTGCAATGCAAAGTCCAGGAGTTTGAATTTTTCTGAATTTTCACGTAATTTTTATTAAGAAACGTCGTCATCGTGGTCGTCGTCGTCGTTATCAACCAGGCCAAAATCCATCTCGCTTTTCTGCCACAACGTGGCATTGGCGCTGCTGTCGCGTATCTCACGTAGCGTCTCGCGCCAAGTTTGAATAAGTCTAGGTGTATTAATACCTTGAACTGGATGTCCACGTATCCCAGGTCGCCGATGACAACGTCCAGGCAGTGCGCCTTGAACTCGACGTCCACGTGTCCCAGGTCGCCGATGACGACGTCCAGGCAGTGCGCTCCGTAGTTTTCGGTGTCTAGGTGTATCAATACCTTATTGGGGGGAGGCCCTCGCCAGGGGGCGAGTGGCACCGGGAGCGATAGTCGACTCTATCCGCAGCCTGGGCCTCGAGGTGGCACTCGGCAAGACCGAGGCCGTGATGTTCCACGGTAAAAGACGTGGAGCACGCGGCGCGCCGCCCGAGGGACTCACCCTGGCTGTGGGTACGGCCCTCGTCAGGATCGGCCT